GGTATCTTGAGAAAGCTTTGTAGAAGGTAGAGAGGTCCTTTGTAATYTTCATATTATATATAGTAAAATTTGTAGTCGTAGGAAACTGTGCGTAGTTTCAAGTTTGGGACGAACTAGTATAAACTTTGGTATTAGTTTTTCTATCCTTACTTTATCTTTCACTTTATTATTGTTTAAGTGTAATTTGCTTCATCTTGTGAAAGGAAATTGGGTTAGGTCCTGATTTGAATAGCTCTAACTTGAGGATGATTAATTCCTATTATATTTTCTCCTCTTTTTCGTCATCTCAAGAAATGAACTCATTATTGGAGGAGGAAGAAGAAAAATTAGAAACATGCTAGTACTACAACAATTTTTTTAACTTACGCGCAACTCGACTACAACATTTYTTTTAACTTACGCGTACCTCGACTAAAAAGCTGTGTTGCAAATGACAAGATCTTGCCTCATACTTGACAAGGACAATGCTTTAGATCCTCTATGTAGAAACTTCCACGAATATGTAACAAATGTCACCCTAATACAGATTCAAAGCTAAAATTCACTAATAATTTCATTAATTAAAACCCTAAACTTGCTTAAGGACTTAATTTATACACGCTCCGCTAAATTTGTTAGATAAAGAGCTATTAAAACTCAAATTTCTACCCTTTGTTAGTATTTTGTTAGTCGGTTTAGCTTGATTTAAGCCTAACTTGAGTCTAAAAGCGCATGGCTTGGATTTTCTTGTAAAATGATAGAATGAACGGTAAGGATCCCACGTTGATAAGATAAGGGATCTAACAATGATTTATAATAGACATGAGCTACTTCTCTCATTACCAATTGATTTTGTAATGAAACCCCATAAATATTAAYATGGTATCAGAGCCCAAAARTTCAAATAAACATCTGGTCTAAATGGAATTCGACAAARATTGATAAGTCAAAAAAAKTCGAATATTAATATGAGCTAGTCTAAAAAGTTGGAGTGTAACATTGGCATGTAAGGCTGAAGAATAGGCACTCAAAAGAAGAAATATCCAGCAAATAGCTTAGTYGGCACTTCATTAGTTGAGCTGGAAAAGAGCTGCTGAGAAATATATATAAAATGGCCAATCAAAGAAAAAACATCTCACACTTTTAGCCACATCAACCCTCATTATTCCTACCACATTGGAATATGGAAACCAGCATTAAAAGGAGGAGAAGCAAGAGATAAATCCATTTTGGGGAAAGAAAAGAATAAATAAGAAAAGAGAGAAAAAGACAAGGAGGAAGGAGCCTAACTAACCTTTGGATATTTTCAGTGTTTCTGCAGATTCTCTTTCATCTCTTCTTCTTCTTCTCATTTTTATGTATTTCCTGTGGACCATGAGCTGTAATATGTTATTTTCTAATATTTTGTGTAAGCATGAGCTCAACTCTTACAACAAGGACTATATAAGAAGTTGATTACGAAAGCTATGCTAGGAGCTTTTTATGTTGTTTACTCYTTGGATTAAGGAATATTATTTATAAGTTTCTTACRGATTGTTTGGGCAACGAGTTGGGCGGAGAAGTCAAAACGAGCATAGTTCAACGATAATTGACATATACTTCCAACTAAGATGTTGTAAATTCGATCCCTCACCCTACGTGTTGTAAAAAAAAAAAAAGTTGGGTGGAGAAGTACTTACCCATGTTTGGAGAAAGAAGTTAT